GTCTGTCTGTCTGTCTGTCTGTCTGTCTGTCTGTCCGTCTGTCTGTCTGTCTGTCTGTCTGTCTCTTTTCTCTTTCGCTCTCAGTCATTCTCCTTTTTCAATATCCCACCCCCTCCAACCCGCCTGTACTATTTCTATCCTTTTATTTTATTCTATCCAAGCACGAAATGGCCGTTATCGTGTTAAAGTGCTACTTAATACAGTCACAATTTTAAAAGAATCTCAGATCTCAGCCCCCCCCCCTCTCTCTCTCTATCTCTCTCCCTCTCTTCCTCATAAACTCTTCTTTCTCAAGCCCTGAACCCAGCAGAAAGAGAGACCCCGTGATGATGGAGCAAAACACACACACACACATACACACACACACACACACACACACACACACACACACACACACACATATATATTCATACACACACAAACACACACATTCATACACACACGCACATACACTCCCACACAAGCTCTCAATCACACAGTTTGATTATCCAGCTTAGGCGTGTAATTACCGTGGTGTACACGCTCCCCCTTTTCTTTAGTCTTCCTTTTTTGCCCTTCCCGATATCCCATTTCTCGAACTAATCTATTTGTGCCCGAAAGTGTATTATACTCTACTCATATAACCAACAACTTGTGAGCTTTGCAATCTACATGCGGGTGGTTGGAGGGCGCCACAGTTTGGTCCTACTTCTCTGTTTTACCTCCGTTTTTCTTTCTGTCTGTCTGTCTTCCTTTTTTTTCAGCACTAAATGACCATTATTGTGTTGATGTGCTTCTTTTCGCTTAAACAAAACAAAACAAACAAGTAACTTACATCTATGCTTGTTCAACTTTAATGCACATACGCTAAAACGAGGCTCTAGATTAAAGCTTCACGAACAAATCCATAAGGCTAATACTGATCTGCTAATCTCTACTACTATTTCATCTTAATAGAAACACTAGAATACAACTAGGCTTACAGTCCGATTTTTTTCGTCTTTAACATTTATTGAACAAGGTATGTCATGCGAAAAGTAAAAAAAAAAAAATGCAATCACCTGAGCGTTCACCAACAGGATAGCGAATCCCACGAACAATGAAGACCGAAAAAAAACCCCTATGTCTTGATATAAGTTGAAAACAACGCTATTCTATGAACTAAAACGCAATTCCTATCCTACGTATCGCCGAATTAGGTCATGTGGAGACTGCCGGTTATACGCCACTAATCATAAAACTGTGCGTGAAAATTTCCCATTAACTCCTTCGACTCGTTTAAAACTTCCCAAAGGGAATTCGGGATTTCTTTTTTTTTCGTAAGAGTTTTTCGGCAATAGCAACAAAAATAAGGTCATATAAGTGGCAAAGATTAGAGGAGTTACAAGAGAGTAACAAACACAAAAAAGAAGGAGGGAAGATAAAGACGATAGATGTTTGATAGGAAAGAAGGAGCAAATCACACCAGAGCACCCGCCAACCGCCTACAGTTTCGGGATGTTAAGTCAAGGTGATAATGAAATTGTAGTGCAGACAAAAACTTTTCAAGGAGGAATCATCCCCATCAGTTACTTCGACCACTGTAGTGCCCAAGACTCACACAGAGAAAGCATTCTCGCTAGCTATGATATGACAATGGAAATTAGGACTTTTGCGTGCCTTGAGATGTTAGAAAAAAGGGTTTGAGTGTAATTGTGTGTGAGTGTGCGGG